ATAGTTAAGTTTGGACATATAATAGTACAATGTGTTTCAGATGTCTTCTAACATAGTTAAGTTTGGACATATAATAGTACAATGTGTTTCAAATGTCTTCTAACATAGTTAAGTTTGGACATATAATAGTACAATGTGTTTCAAATGTCTTCTAACATAGTTAAGTTTGGACATCTACTAGTATAATGTGTTTCAAATGTCTTCTAACATAGTTAAGTTTGGACATATAATAGTACAATGTGTTTCAAATGTCTTCTAACACAGTTAAGTTTGGACATATAATAGTACAATGTGTTTTAAATGTCTTCTAACATAGTTAAGTTTGGACATCTACTATTACAATGTGTTTCAAATGTCTTCTAACATAGTTAAGTTTGGACATCTACTATTACAATGTGTTTCAAATGTCTTCTAACATAGTTAAGTTTGGACATATAATAGTACAATGTGTTTCAAATGTCTTCTAACACAGTTAAGTTTGGACATATAATAGTACAATGTGTTTCAAATGTCTTCTAACATAGTTAAGTTTGGACATCTACTATTACAATGTGTTTTAAATGTCTTCTAACATAGTTAAGTTTGGACATCTAATAGTACAATGTGTTTCAAATGTCTTCTAACATAGTTAAGTTTGGACATATAATAGTACAATGTGTTTTAAATGTCTTATAACATAGTTAAGTTTGTACATATAATAGTACAATGTGTTTTAAATGTCTTCTAACATAGTTAAGTTTGGACATCTAATAGTACAATGTGTTTTAAATGTCTTCTAACATAGTTAAGTTTGTACATATAATAGTACAATGTGTTTTAAATGTCTTCTAACATAGTTAAGTTTGAACATATAATAGTACAATGTGTTTCAAATGTCTTCTAACATAGTTAAGTTTGGACATATAATAATACAATGTGTTTCAAATGTCTTCTAACAAAATGGTTAAGTTTGAATATATGATTGTTTAATCTGTTTTAAATGTCTTCCAAGATGGTTCAGTTTCAGTGCTAGAACAAATCTGTTTCACAAAATTGGTATATTTTCAAGGATATGGTATCGTAATGTACTTCAGAAATATCAGTGTTAGGGTTCAGTATATAGTGGAAGGAGATTCTTATGGTTTTGGAGATTCTTTCACATTGGTTAAATTAAATATATTTCCTTGTTACTTATTTCCAGAAGGATCCAAGTTTATTAGATTTGTGTAACGAACATTATTAATTGAATCATACTTTTTTTTCAACACGAACGTTTGAATTTGAAGCAGAATGATCTGTTTCAGAACGAACGGAGTTCTCTCCGGAGCTAGTAGATGAATTAGAGGAATGGATTGACAAACACACGGAACATTTGCCACCCTTAAAGAATTTCATCCTTCCGGTATGTACTTAAGCATTACCGATGTTAAAGAAACTAGCCTGTAGATATGAATGTTTGGGCTAGTGGGGAGTTAGAATTCAGTAAAGCATATGTTTTGACCGATGATTGAAATATAAAAAAATCATGCAAGAAATTATTAACATAGATATTATGTCGTATCATATTGTAGTGAAAATTTTTTACCACTGAGAAATCAGTTAAGTCTGTGTAAAAGTATAAGTGAAATTTCATTTTATACAAACTAATGAATTTTAACAGATACTTGCAAAGGTGGGTGTGCCACATGTGGTTCTAATTTCACTGGCTTTGAAAGTTGTAGGAAAATTAGTTTCACTTTTTAGTGAGGAGAATTTCCAAAGAACTACATCTATTTTACATTTGTCTACAAGTTCCTTTATTCCGAACTTGTTTTTAACTTCTTCAAAAATAAATGACGAGTTTTAGAAATGGATGGTAATAAAGGAAAATGTGAAAGTGCCACCAAATTCATAAAAATGATAAAATGAATAAAGTGTGGAGCACATTTTTGTAGAAATGAAATGTGAACTATAAACCCTCAGGTTCACAGTCTGACATGCTAACCACTGGGCAATACCCAGCCCTTATGGGTATCAGAGATTTGGAAGTAATAACTAAAGCAGTAGCAAAGGGGTAAATTTAAGTGGCTGTCGAACTTGTAAAAATGAGAACGTGTTTAAAGTCGGGTTTTTTTTAGAATCCCTGTGGAGCATACCAAAAACACCCTAAATGTTTCATGATGTACACTTTGGTCAGTTACGGACAGATAAACAGTTACAGCCACTTTAGAATGTAGATTTTCTGTATCGTTGAATAAGAAAAATGACCTTGTATTATTTTTATACCATTTTTAATTTATCAACAAGAGACAAAGGATGTTTAAAACATTTTAACAATAAGCTTTATACTGATGCATGCACTATAGAAGTAGTTAATGAGATTTATATTTTCTCTCGTTAAATGTAGGATCATGATAATTAAGTCTCTTTATTGAAAGCTACCATCCATTTGATGTTATTAGCTAATACGCTGTCAAATTTTATATACAAAAAATTATTTTCTGTGCATATTGGTGGTGTGGTGCTATACAGTTTTTTGTTAAATTAATTTGAAATAATTTAAATAGTTCTTGTAAATACTAATTTGAGTAATCATAAATATATACGGGGGATTATTAGTTATTTAAAAGTGGTAAAATAGGCTGAATGCCAAAAAAAATAACTTTTGAATTTTGTATAAATTATAGATAAAAATGCTTGTTTAGTGACACAAACCAGAGGAAACTGAGTTATTCAACAAGTTATATATTCCACAGATTTTGTTAAATGTGTTATCCCTAAATGTCACGAACTTGAGAGTGTGTCACTTACAAAACAGTCACATCAGACTGGCATTAGCTAATTGACCAGACCTACATTTATGATCTTATCCTAGCATTTAGTGCACAGTGATGGATTTCTTTGACTAAACTCATATTCATATGTTCTGGGATATGCACTTGCTACCTTTGCATACAGCTTTGCTTCTGTTACAACTATTTTTATAGAAAATCACATTACAGATTGGAAAAAATAGTAAAGTTATAGACAAACCATTTTAAAAAATTAATAAATTTTAACACATTTCTGTGCGTCACAGTGTATCATCGAAGAAAAAGTCATATGAACATAGGTACCATACAACTGTACCACTAAAATATCATATATTACTACTGTAAACATATTTAATCACTTACAGTGATTTAAAACACTCTGTAGTCACCGAGAAAGACACTAGACTATGATAGAATGCATGACATGGGCCTGGCTTCATCTCTCCTCCCTGGGTGGTGGGGTGGCAGTGGAACTTAACGCATGACATGGGCCCGGCTACATCTCTCCTCCCTGGGTGGTGGGGTGGCAGTGGAACTTAATGCATGACATGGGCCCGGCTACATATCTCCTCCCTGGGTGGTGGGGTGGCAGTGGAACTTTTGCTGACTCTTCTTAGCAATTAAAAAAATCATACAACTTTTTAAAATTGATGATATTTTTTAAAACTGCTAGGGAGAATGAATTTGGGGGTACGCGACCCACTCCAGCATTCCCCTAGAATCAGACCTGGTATGGCAGGTTTTTAACCATTGGTTTTATTGAAATTGTTTTTAACCTTTAATACTTTAAACTTAATTTTGTCTGGTGTGTGTCAGTCAAAAAGGTTGTTAGAATGTGAAATACATTCTTGATTCTGAAAACAAAACAACAACTTGAGATTGTAATGCAAGAGCACATTTTATAAAAACATTATAACCGTATCATTGGCACATTTGTTAACCCTCAAATGACCAACATGTTTTTATACCGTTGGGGTCCATATATTGTATCATATTGAATAATTTTATGTTTTAACATCTCAGAAAACGCAGTGTAAAGAACTGACTAACACAATTGATGAAATTGCTAATTTTTTCTGCAAGATACATAGAAAATCCTAGCAATAATTAGTGGGATTAACTGCAATATTGGCAGAATTTTGTTTTGTTTGATTCATAGGTTATTCGGGATCCTGTAACCAACAACGAGATGGACCCACAAGCAAATTGGTGTATAAAGTATTTGGAATAATGTGTCTTAAAACTGTGTAACTCTAGGGTTAAAGTTTATAGTAGGGTTAACATCATTCTTTATCAGTTTCTGTCATTATAATTTGTCGTGCGCTTATGTAGAGACAAATTGGTATTGTAGGTTCTTATAAAGTTAACATTAGCTTACAACAAATGTAAAGTTTTTCCGATTGTTCAATTATTATTTATAAATTCTAAAAATCATTTTATAAAATAATTGTGATCTCCGAATAAAACTTCTGTTAATATTTAATTTTATAGATACTTAAATAGTAGTTTTGTATTACAGTGAAAGTTCTGACTCAATACTCCAAAAAATTTATTTTTACAGATAAGTATTTGTAATTTGTTTTTTATTTGATGGATTATAAAACTTGTTATAACTGTGGTTATACACTTTTCGCTATAGTCTGGTGGACAGTCCAGTGCATACTTTCACGTAGCTCGAGCCATCTGTCGTAGAGCAGAACGAAGGTAAAGAAATTATTTTTTCATTATGTGTAGTTGTGTTGTTTTTTTACATATAAAGCTTATAATGGTTGATCCATTTTAACTTATTCAAATAAATACGCAAATGTATAAGTGTGTCTTTGTATGTTGTAATAGAGGAAGTTATTTTTGATATATAAATTCAAAGAAAAAAGGAAACATGCATATTGACAAGTAACATTCGATAGCTTAATCAATACACGTTATGTCATGCTATACCCCAGGACATACAGTATGTCTCAGGGCATGTCATAGTTTTTTCCAAGAAAAACATCGATAATTAAATGTAAAATACAAATAATTAATAAAAATGGAAGAAAAACTCATAACGAGTCATGTTATAACAGTGAAAGAAATGGATATTTTCTTAGCATTGGTTTACGTGTTTATTAACTCTTGCAACTTTTAATTAGTATTTAATTAGTTTGATTTTTTTTTCAGAGTTTATCCATTAATATCAGCAGGAGAGGTAGATCCAGATGTTTTGAAGTACTTGAATAGGTAAATAATATTAATTATTTGTTGTTTGAACATTTGGTAAGATATACAAACAATAGGTAATACGGGAACACAGCCAGTTGACCATTACAAAACAGTATTATTCATCATTACTGAGAATTCCTGTTATTTCAACAGTTATAAACATAATAACTGTATATAGCTAATCCCAAATAGTTAAAGGTTTATGTGTGTACTTTAAAATTTCTTATGTCTGTTTGTCTGTGATGAAAGTTTTTTTACTTACTAACCTCTGATCATCATTAAACTTTCAGGGATTCTTGGATATACCCCAGAAAGTTTCTAAAAAAACGTATTTTATTAGTTTGACAAACATTTTAGTTTTCAACCTTGACTACTGCCTTACAACCACCAAAGGACGCACATGTCATGCCATCCGTATGAAACCAATAGAAATGCCATCCTGGTATGGGTACCTTTGCTAGTTTAAAATAAACAGATTTATAATTTAAGAACTATTTTGTATCGGCAAATCATGGCAGCTCCATTGCTTCTTAAATTGTCAGTTAGTTTATTTGAAATTACGTCTAGGTGCAGATAAGGATAGGATAATTTCTATTGATATTACAAGAAAGGATATGTGAAACAGGATATTTCCTGATGAGTACACTGGAATTGGTGGCAACTGCTTGTAGAAAAAAACACAAGTGTAAGGGGCTATGTTTTGAAATTTTTCTGTCGTTCTCCCTTCGGATGAAAGACTTTCGAAATGTTGTCCTCTACACTCGTGTTTTTCTACAACGGGCAGTTGCCACCCATTCCAGTGTACTCATCACGAATACTCTGCCTAAAAAATCTATCAAATGATATTTCCAGTTAGTTTATTGACTGTAGGATCATGTTTTATCAGTTGGTTTATTGACTGTAGGATCATGTTTTATCAGTTCATTTATTGACTGTAGGATCATGTTTTATCAGTTGGTTTATTGACTGTATGTGATCCTACAGTCAATAAACCAACTGATAAAACATGATTATTTTATCAGTTAGTTTATTGACTGTAGGACCATGTTTTATCAGTTGGTTTATTGACTGTAGGATCATGTTTTATCAGTTGGTTTATTGACTGTAGGATCATGTTTTATCAGTTGGTTTATTGACTGTAGGATCATGTTTTATCAGTTGGTTTATTGACTGTAGTATCATATTTAATCAGTTGTTACAGTTTACTAAGATTTTAAGGTAGGAAACATAACTTGTAGCAATGATTATATTTGCAAATCAAACATCGAACAAAGTTTTCAATCTATTCTTGATATTCAGATAGAAGTAATTACAATGTTAAACATCTTTTATTTTTCAGACTGAGTGATTACCTATTTACTGTGGCTAGATTGACAGCCAAGATCGATGGTAAAGAAGAGAAAATATACAGAAAACCAAGACCTGAGAGACATTCTGAGAGTGTATAGGATATATATATTGAACTCCATGTATATATACACACATACATGTATATATATAGAGAGAGAAAGTAGTTATTTGTTATAGAGTAAACTTGAATATAAAGTTAAGAGATTGGTCATTTATAAATCAAGAAATATTCTATTTGGTGATGTTAATCAGAAACTAAATTTCAACAGTTTCACTGTGCATTGTGGAGTAAAATGGCTTTTGTTGGTCAGATGTAACTTTGTATCACATGCGAAATTATTGAGTTATGAAAAAATGAATTAATGAAAAAAAACAACTAAATACTAGGTTCAAATCAAGGCTAAAAGCTTAATCAACTACTAATATTTTTTTTTCACTAGGTAATTAGATGTATGACTATAAACTAATCCTAAAATATGATGCTTTACAAAAAGGATTTGTATCAATGTTGTCCAGTTTGCATCAGTTCTAATGGTTTGAGAGACTCTGTGTGTGTGTGTGTTAACAGCTGCTTTGAGTGACAAACCCTTGCAACATCATTGCTTCTTAAATTGTACGTCACTTACTTCCAAATGCCATTGAGAAGCCAATACATCATGATCAATAGATAACGAAGAACAGTACCAGATCCCTTGATGTGAGGAACCACTGACAGGGTGGCAGCTGGTCAATATAAGATTATTGCGAGCTGGATGAGGCTCATACATTGGTCAACAGACTGGAAAGGTTTACAGGTGGTGAAGGAAAGCTCATCAACATGCAACCACAGAGTAGATGATTGGTGTGTGGTCCTTATGGCAAGAAAACAATGTCAGGGGACAAATATTGATTCTTCCTGATCTTGGAACAACACGAGATAGAACAGTTTCCACCTAAACAATCGGGAATCAGTTACATAATTGTGGTCTGTATGTCAGACTATCTGTTAGGTACATCCCACCATAGGAGAAACTGGGAACTAGTGGAATTGTGTCCTCTTGACAGATGGGTGATAGCTTGGTCTCCCAAGAGGTTTTGGGCATGCACGTATGTTGAGAGAGTAATTGCTACTATTTGCTTAAATCATTAAAACACACACATACTGGATACAGGAATAGCCAGCTTTGTACATCTTCATTAGAGGTATTACAACTGACCAGAAGTAGAGTAGTGGTGGGGACAGAATTAGCCAGCTTTTTACATCTTCATTAGAAGTACTATAACTGACCAGAAGTAGAGTAATGGTGGGGACAGAAATAGCCAGCTTTGTACATCTTCATTAGAGGGACTACAACTGACCAGAAGTAAAGTAGTGGTGGGGACAGAAATAGCCAGCTTTTTACATCTTCATTAGAGGTACTATAACTGACCAGAAGTAGAGTAGTGGTGGGGATAGAAATAGCCAGCTTTTTACATCTTCATTAAAGGTTCTACAACTGGCCAGACTACCCATTTTTCCATCCTGTTGAGGGGCTGTTGACCTCTATTTTGTAATGATGAACAACAGTACTTACTTCCATTGAGCCATTTAATTGAAATGCCTTTTGAAGGATGAAGGTATTGAATGTATGGACTAGTTTGTGGGGTCATGAAACCTTAATCCTTAGGGGTACATCTGTGGGAGGAATCTTGGGTGATGTGTTGCAGCTCTTCAACAACCACCAAAACACAACTATTTCAGCCTTTATTATTGCCTTGAAGGAGGAATGATCATATATTTCACAACAATTGATGACTGTGTTAATTAGGAACATGCCCCATCATTGTTAAAAGTGTGTTGCTGTCCGTGGAGGCCACATTCCTTATTGTGAGTGCCCCTATTCACTTTGAGGGTTGAATAATTGAATGGCTTCTTCACTTTATGGAATATCTCAAATATTGTACATTTTGGTCAGTATGAAGAAATTTGTGTTATTTCCTGTAGACTAGGTTATGCTAGGTAGTACCAAGGGTTGTCTAGTAACTGTAAAGTCTGCTGACCCTTTAATTTTCTCTGTGTGTGTGTGTATTTCATTGATAAATAATACAATTTTTTGTTCATTAAAAACTGGCATATAATCTGGTATTGTTTTTGTAGTTATCTAT